TCTTTCCCTGTGCTCTTGAGAGACATCGGGGTGAGAGTGGAAGAAGAAAGCAGGTTGAACGCATATGGTAGGATTAGCACTTTATCTCTGCCTCCTAGCTATACATGTGTTCCGGCGCTGTCTATGCTATTAGCTTCGTTAGAGCCGCCAGAGTGGGGGATTAAATCCAGTGAGCCGTGCAATGAACCTCATTGCTCGAGTCAGTTCTAAGGATTATTGCGAATTATGTAGATCAGAATCAAGCTGAAAGCAGGTTGAACGCATATGGTAGGATTAGCACTTTATCTCTGCCTCCTAGCTATACATGTGTTCCGGCGCTGTCTATGCTATTAGCTTCGTTAGAGCCGCCAGAGTGGGGGATTAAATCCAGTGAGCCGTGCAATGAACCTCATTGCTCGAGTCAGTTCTAAGGATTATTGCGAATTATGTAGATCAGAATCAAGCTGCAATCTTGACAGGGCCCGATGTCTCCAGGGAAAAACGCTGTAACTTTGCCATTCCGGAGGTTTACTCTGATCGAATTAGATGCTTAAACAGAGTCTTGTTAGCCCTCCCCTCTCTCTCCCCCACCCCACCCAAGCCATCAGACTGCAATCACCCAGAGCCTTGTGTTGAGTCAGCTTTGTAGAGAACCAGTCACAATCAAAGTGGGGAAGAAAGGGCGTTCTGAGGGGGCCTTTCCACTGCTGGGCTATCCAAAGCTAGTAGCAGGGGGTGGCTAGAGGAACAGGGGCACAAGGCATCACTCGCAGTGGTCTCACCAGCAGGAGTTTCTGGGCTTGCAGCCGATTAGACTCACATTCAGCAAGAGCCAAAAGCCCCTCAGTAAGATACATGGAGACTGTGGCGACTTGGCGCGTAGGGATCCCCTTGGGGCTGTCACCCAGAGTGCTGGTCATGCCACTGAGCCCACCAGCCTGCCCTCTGGGATTCACTCCCACCCCGTCCTGCTGGACCAGGAGCCCTGGTCTCCCCCAGCCAAGGCACAGATTTGGGGTAACCCCCGCCCCCCCCAGCAGACCAACACAGATGCTGAACCAGCTCAGCTCTGGGAGGGCTGAGCTATAAGACTGTCGACAGCCCCCAGGAACACAGCTCCCTGATAGGACCAACACCCCAAATAAATCCATCTTACTCTGGATGAAAGTTCTACACAAAGAAAGCTGATAAGGTCACCTCCCTTTATCAGAGAAAGAGAGAGATGCACAGTGGTTGCTCCTCCCTCTCCTCCCAGTAACAGTAATTTACGCTGAGCTTGATAATAACCAACAGTGTTGTTAGTAAGTATAAAAAGCAGGATGTTAGTGGCTGCAAGTGAAAACAGGCAAATCAAAGACATTTATTAAGCCAAAATAAACAAAACACACCAGGTAATTGTAATACAAAAAGAAACTGGTTACAAGCAAATTCTTACCCAACCAGTTGTCCTAATCATCTCTTTCACAAGCTAAGCAGCCTCCTAACTGGGGCCCTATCTTTCCCCATGTGCAGTCTTAGATGTTTCGAGAAGTGGGAGATAAGTTGGGGTCTCGTTTGGTCCCCTCCCCCCTTTACACCTCTTTTCCCCAAGGAGGGAGTTTTTTGTGATCAGTTCAAATTTTTCTCACTTTGGGTGAAAAAGTACTGGATCCAAAATGGGTTCCAGCATCAGGTGGCCAGGCCACATGCCTGGCATGACCAACCAGAATCCAGGCTTACAGGAAAAACAAAACCATTTACAGAACGTTATCTTGAGTACTGAGCCATGATGTTTCCAGAGTATCGGGAATGGCCTCATTAGCGCATGTACAATGATAAATGGATCCACACTTCGTATTTCTAATTTCACATACAAGAATGATACGTGCACAGCAATAGAATATACACATTCTGCAGATTGTATCTTTGAAATGGTATGTGACATGATGCATTTTGCCTAAAGCATCTTTGAGTTATGCATATTCATAAGCTGATTTTCATAAAGCATGGGAGGGGCTGACAAGAACAACTTGTCCAGTTGGGACTGCAGGAGTTCTGGGGAGAGGGCGGATTCATGGAGTCAGAAAGCTAGAGCTTGGGCAGGAAATCACGATTAACTTCCTGCCCTCTTGTAGGTAAGTGGCGTGGCAGCATTAGTGATCACCAGAGATCCATCCCCGGATTATGTCTCTCTGTAAAAGGCTACAGAGGGGTCGCCCTGTTAGTTTGTAATTAAAAAAAACGTAAGTAACGACAAATGGCCCTGTAGCACCTTAGAAACTAACCAAAATGTATATAGATACTATCATAAGCTTTCCTGGGCACAGCCGTCGTCTGTAAGGTGCTACAGGACCATTTGTTGTTTTGTAAAATGCTATTGTGTGTAACTGTAAGTTCTTATATCGTGCCCATCGCCATGGACTCTGGCCACCTAGCTGCAGAGCACCCATAGCAGGGGCAGCATGGGAGGATCCCTCCCTTTGAAAAACCCCAAAGGCACCTGCCTGCCCCTGTGTTGTCTTCTAAGCTCTCCTTTCCCTCTATTGACCTACCCTAACACCGCTTAGCTCGCGGTTCCTCAAGGGGTCACTGCGCTAACGGGGCTAACTGATACAAAGCAGACCGGCAAGCCAGTGTGGGGTGCAGAAACAGGAGGAAAAACCTGCTAGCTCCCTGTCCTGTCCATTCCAGCAGCAGCCTGGCGCATGAGTCGGACCGTCTGGCCCCATCCAGACTGAGGAATCCTGCGGCGCCGGTGCTGGGACTCCAGGGGCTGCAGCCTTGGCTTTCAGCACGTGTAAGTGCTGGATTGTACCTTGCGCACATCTCCCAGGCCGATTCCCTGAGGAGCCCTGTCCGGTGGGCGGCCGTCCTCCACTCTGTCACTCCCGCCGCTCGCTGGCACTTGACTCCACCCTCACTCTCTTGTGCTTGAAAAAAAAAAAAAAGAGGGGGGGAGGGAATTTTCCTGAGCTTCGTTTCCAAACATGTGGACAGGATCATGAGCTTTTGTGGGCACAGCCCACTTCTTCCGATGAAAGCTCAGGATCCCATCTGCATGGTTTGTTAGTCTGTAAAGTGCTACCAGACCATTTGGGGGTTTTTAAGTTTCTCCTGTCCAGACTAACTCAGCCACCCCTCCGAAGCTTTTATTTCCAAAGGCATTCGATGAGAGTGTCTCACATTTCATTCTGCAGCCCCAGCTGCATGTTCTGGGGCAGGCTGTGTCCTCGTGTCCTTCTGCGTGCTGACCCGGGCCAGGCGCATGCTGGTGGGACTTGTCCCTGAGTGCGAGAGTGGGACACAATGGTTCCATCCCCCAGCTGGCCTTTGGCTTTGCCGGGTCGTGCGCACGGGTAGAAGTGCATCAGCAAGTCGCAAAGCAGCCTGTCTACCCCAGCTGGGAAGCCCAGCCCCGTAGCAGTGCAGAGGCACCCGGGCACAGAGGCGGAGAGGGAGTGGTGGGGTAGACGCATACAGCAAAGTCACAGAGGGGCCAGGCTCTAAGAAAGACAGACCCCTCCCCAAAGATCCAGCACACTCCTCCCTGACGCAGCCAGGGCGGAAGGCGCATCAAAACCTCTCACCTTCATGACGCGGTTGGTCTGAGTCCAGAGAGTTCTGCTCTGTCTCTCTAGGCCTGGTGGCTTCTGCAGAGCACCCCTCTGGAGCTGGGCGAGGCAAAGGCCATCGAAGCCAATGGAAGGACGGACTCTGGATCTGGTCTCAGGGCTTCCCCCCAGCATCTGAGCAGATGAGATTTCGGTCTCCTTTACGTTGGTGTAAATCCAGCCACCATGAGGAGCTACAAATGTCCCATTCCCATCCCTGGCAGTACCCCACCACGTCCCAGCAAACCTATGTCCAGGGACCAGTCATTTTGTCCCCATCAGAGAAGGACACCAACCCACTTAGTGCATCATTAAAAAAGCAGCAACTCCCGCTGGGTTATTTCTGATAACTGGAGTCTGACATGTTTGCTGACTGCATTTCGGCCCCACCTCCACCATCTACAAACCCCACTTTGTTATGGATGCTGAGCTGTGTGTGCTGTTCTCTTATTGTCAGGCTGCTTGTGAAAGCTGGATGGGAACCCTGGTGTCATACACCACGAGTTCGGGGCTGTACATCCTGCTGCTTTACCAGACAGTTGCTCAGGAGGGCTTGGCAGCATGTACAAGTTTATTGTAAGATCGTTCAAGGTCACTGGCCTGCACATGCAGGTTTATTATGGGAGGGTTGTCGGTAAGCTGTGAAATGTTGTGTGCATGGCTTTGTTATTGCAGGGTTGCAATTGCACACTGGACTGTGCACACTGCTTTGTTATTGTAGGGTTGCCCAGGAGAGCTGGGCTGGGCTGGAGATGCTGGTGAGTTAAGTATTGAACTTGTCATCATAGAGTGGCTCAGAAGTGCTAGGCTGCCAGCATTTACTGACTTTTTAATGAAATCTGGTTTGGTAAAACAGCCACCCCCAGAGATGAAAAATGGCAAAGACTTTCCTAACCCAGAGCGGAGGATGGTGGGGGCGGGGGGGTAAGGGATAGTCCTGGCTCAGCACCCTTGGTGATATCCTGTTGAGAATGTAATTCCCATTGTACCTGGCAGAGAGGAGGGTGGTGGGGGCGGGGGGGTAAGGGATAGTCCTGGCTCAGCACCCTTGGTGATATCCTGTTGAGAATGTAATTCCCATTGTACCTGGGAATCCCCAAGCCGTATGGAGAGCCCTGCCAACTAATTACGCTCTCATGTAACTGCCTTCATTCCCTCTAGTTTGGAGGGACTGAGACTGGCCTGGAGGAAATGCTCAGAACGGGTCCAGTTTGAATTTGGTGCTAACAAGAGAGAGGGCGGCGAGTGGCACCGTGCCTGTGGTTTCCTCTCCCCGCCAGGTCCTGACTGAAAACAGAAGGGTGTGAGCGGGGCCTTGTGCCACTTGCAGCACAAGGAGTTAAAGTCTCCTGCAGGAACCCATCCTTGCAAGTGGTGCTGGGCCGAGATGCAGCCAGTGCGCCGACTTCCCCGCAGAGAGAGCTGCTGCTGGCTGCGCAATAAGAGCTGTAAGTGGCAAGAGCTGCTGAATCATAAACCAAAGGTGTCTCAGTATTGCCCAGAGACACCCAAACACGTTTGTGACCCTTCATATTTATTGCTTTGCTGCAACAGACCCATCCGGGTTAAACGAAGAGCGAAGCTTTCCCTGGTATTGCTTGTTGCCAATGTTCTTTTTAGTATCCGGCTATAAACTGCCCGCGGTAGCTAAGAGTGCAAGCTCTTTTATTCCGGATCCCCCCAGTGCTGCCAGAAGGCAGCCATTTGGAAATATGCGCTCTACTTGGTACGTCTGTGGCATCTTCCAACTAGGGATTTCAGAGAGCTTTACAGATAGGGGTGAATTCAGCTTCCTGGCCCCCTGGCCCTAGCTCAGTGGTCTCATCCCCATTCTGCAGATGGGGAAACCAAGGCACAGCACGGGGGAGTGAGTTGCCCAAGGTCACCCAGCAAGACCATGGCACACCCAAGAATAAAACACAGGCCCCCTGCCTCTCCTCCATCTGTGCTAGCCACAAAGCTTCCATGTGCACCTGGCTGTCCCTAGTGTGTGTACCATCAGAGGGAGCAATGAGGCTCTCTATGGACCCAGGGCATCCCCACCCTCAGAATAAGCATTCCTGTGCCATCCATGGAAATTTGTCAAGGTGCCTTGCTAAGGTGAGAATGAGATCCCGTCGCTCCCGATGCCGCTGCGAGCCCTGGATTCCAGGATCCTGCCCTTAGTATGCATAGTTTCCCATAATATAAGAACTTCCCATAATATAAGAACTAGGGGCTACCAAATGAAATTAATGGGGAGCAGGTTTAAAACTAATAAAAGGAAGTTCTTCTTCACACAGCGTGTTGTCAACCTGTGGAACTCCTTGCCTGGGGAGGTTGTGAAGGCTAGGACTATAACAGGGTTTAAAAAAGAGCTAGATAAATTCATGGAGGTTAAGTCCTCTAATGGCTATTAGCCAGGCTGGGTAAGGAACGGTGTCCCTAGTGTCTGTTTGTCAGAGGGTGGAGATGGATGGCAGGAGAGAGATCGCTTGATCATTACCTGTTCGGTTCACTCCCTCTGGGGCACCTGGTATTGGCCACTGTCGGCAGCCAGGACACTGGGCTAGATGGACCTTTGCTCTGACCTGCTACGGCCGTTCTTATGTGAACATCCGGTCTCTGACACACTGCGGGAGGCAACAGCACGAAATCCCAAGCTGAGGATGAGCATTGCCGGTTCGGAATGGTTCCTTTGGCGTCAGACACTGCGACACGGGGCTGCCTCTGTGCCGTTACACTGATGTCCCTGCAGAGCAGCATTCTGAATGAGGGCCGTAGCCGTGTTTCTGGGCAGGGCAAGGCTGCCCCAAAGAGGATGAGACTGAGCCACCTTCCTGTTGAAAGCACCGACGCCTGTCCATAGATTCTCCCAGGCCTCACCCAGGCCAGGTGTTGTGATGGGACCGATGCCTCATTCCAGGCTCAGATATTGTTTCAAGCAAAGGCAATATCTGCAGTGACTGTGTCCATGTGCAGGCTGGACCTGCCTTCCTCAGTGTGCCAGTAGGATCAGTTCATCCTGGGAATTAACAACTTCTTACATGAGAGAGACAGGGGGAAACAAAACCCAGAACAGGTGTGCCTGGGGAGGGGGAGGAGGAGAAAGCCTCTGGTCTTGGTTCATTTGAAAAAGCCATGAACAATGGGTGACAGATGTAGTGTCGCCATGACAACCCTCACAGCTGGCTAGAAAGAAATTAAAGGGCAACCCATTTCACTGAAGTGTCAGCACACTTGCTTTCATCTAGTGCTGGTAACTCGGTAATTACAGATGCACATGAAAACCTTCAGATCCAAATGTGTTCTCCTTTTGGGCCCTTTGGAGATAAACTACTGCAGGAATAAAAACCAAAAAGCTTTTCTTCCACTGGCTTCCTTCAGTTTGCTGCCTTATGGTCATTTTTCTTCCTTTAGGGTCATGAATTTTCATGGTGAAATCCCATCTGTATGTTCTTCAAAGGATGCAGTCTGTCAAATTGGCACATGGGGCTTTTGTATCTATGTATTTGGTAAACTGGTGGTTTGCAAAAAAAATGTTCTGAGCATTGATCCAAGGAAATTAACTACAGTAGGTGTGAAACAATGGCAGGTTTGAGTGAGCTCCGTCTTGGAAAGACTGTCTCAAATTAAGGAGCAGTTGGACCACAGGTACACTGGTATAAATCCAGACTTGCTCCTCCACTTAAACAGGTCTACTGTAGATTTGCACCAGAGTTATTGAGACCAGAATATGGCCCATAATTATTGGACCTTAATTGTTAAAGGGACATTGTCAGTGTAAAAATAATCACCCTTTTGTCTAAAAATCTTTCATCTGTTGTTCTTATTATTGTTAAAAGAAAACTCAAGAGTGTCATGTACCTAAAAGGGCTTAAAGGAAAATCTATTCTTTTTCTCTCTCTCTTTGTTCAGTGTGCTTCCTTTGTGCATTTGACAACACTTTGTGTCCTGCCAATAGTCACTGTTGTTTGTGTGGGTTTTTCACAGAACAGCAGGGAATAGAAATTGATATATATACGTATATATATTTAGGCCCAACATGGCAGGGGGACTCAGGTGTGGAACTGGAAATTTTAATTCCTTTTTTTTTGTCTGAATTTTTTTTGCTGATGTCCCTTCCAACCCTTCCAGGTTGCTCCAAGGACATCCTAAAAGAGGCCTTGGTGTTTGGTGAGCTACAAGAGCTGCCCAAGGATGCTTAATACTGGCTGAGCCTGGGTTCTCTGCACATGAGCCTGGTGGTTCCTTCAGGCTGGAATCCTCAAGGGAGGGCTAGGGAGTTGAATACTCAGGTTGTGTTGAAATCCAGTTTGAGATCCCAGCTTTGGTAGCTACCTTCAGCCAATGCAATTAGAAGGCTCCAGGCTAAGATGGCTTTTGAGATGAACTTGTAGTTGGACACTGGGAAAGTTCCTATTCAGCAGCCCTGTCTCTGGCCAGTAGTCATTGTCAACGTCTGACTTCACCAACTGAAAAGTGGGGAACATTGGCCAGGCCGGTCACACCTTACCCTGGTACGTCTGCAGAGTAGCTGGCCCCAGGGCCTGACACAATTCCTTCTCGCCGATCAGGCGGTGGAGTCCTCTGAAAACGGTGCCACGATTCTTAGGCAAACAGCTCTGCTGCCTCTGCATCCCTATAGCAAAAGACTCTCCTGATATCGCAGCTAATCTCTTCCCTCTCTGTGCTTCAGCATCATTGCTCCTGGCCTTGCTGCTGGTGCCAAGCCCTTTAGATATTTATATAGTGTTATCTGGTGCCCCTTTGGCATATTTTTCTCAGCTACCCAATTTAAATTCCCTTAGTCTCTCCTCAGAAGTCATCCTCTCTGGTCCCTGCATCATTTAAGTTGCTCTGCTTTTTTCTGTCTGTGTGATGGCTATTTATTCTGTAAGGTATCACGCTGAAGACCACATTGAGCATTCTAGGTGCATGCCTACGGTCACACTGTAAAATGGCACTATAACCTGCCTTGGCCGCCTGTGTACATGCCACTAGCTCAGCCTTGAAGGGGCCAGCATCAGACAACAAAACCGTAGCTGCTCTATCGTCCATATGTGCGGCTGCTTTGTAAAGAAAGGTCCGTTCCCTCCCTCCCTCCCTCCCTCTGCCTGCCCCCACGCTGTCCTATGGGAGCCCAGCGTCGGTCCTTTGCTGGGTAAGGTGATGATGCAATCAGTCGTTTATGGCTATGGGAGTTTTCCATTTCTTGGAGCTTGCATTTGCTTTTCTATGGCAGATGTTTGTGTATGAGAAACCCTGCTGCCATGTGTGGCTGGGGAGTGCGACCATCCTGGGGCACGCAGACAGCTATTGGACTGATCGCTGCTCTTAGGATCTTGTGTTGCCTGGGTCCACGGGTGGGTGGAAGGCACCGAGAGCGTCTGCCCCTGCCACCCCCCAACCCAGCACACTCCGATGAGAACAGGGCAGAGCACAGCACAGAACTAGCTCCCATTGACAGCTAAGCAGAGGCCTAGCTCACTTGTCCCCATGGTGCTCCACAGCCATGACCCTCTTGGGTGTATGGTGCCATCAGCAGCAGACATTGTGGGGCAAGTGCATGGTAGAAGTAAAAACTCACAGGGAGCATGTCGACCCCCAAGCCCGTTGAGCGTGGGCAAACAGAGCAGCTCCGGGATAGCTGTAGCAATCGCTCTGAGGACTGGCTGAGGAATGCTGTGGGTGAGGCACTGCCGCCAGGTGCCAGGGATTATTATTAGAACGAAGCCATCTGTCTTCTCGCGCCTTGTTTTTTGGTCACATCAGCTAGTCTGTAGCTGAGACAGTTGCCAAGCAAACCTTCAGAACCTGATCCAAATGCAACCCATTTAGCAACATCTGCCCGAGTTTGCAGAGAGCCTGAAGCAATAGCTCTGTGGTCTCCATTCATGCCCAGGAGCACTAATGCTGATGTCAATGGTGGCTCATTCAATGTCAGCCTTGTTCAGCAGAGCACATAAGAAAAGGAGGGGATGATCATATGCAAAGGATGGGATGGGGGGCATGAAGAGCCGGAAGGGACCACGGAAAGTGTTTAAATTAGGATGTCTGTCATACCATGTGGCATGGCTGTGGGGTGAAGGGTGAGTGTGGGTGATTGGTTTCTGGAGGGGGAGGGTCTGCTAAGCATTTGGGAGAGAACTCTCATGGGTGAAATTATAGAGCAAGAGGCCAGTGGAAACTGATTTGTCTGGAGCTTGTAAATGAATCGGTTAGTAAAAATGCCTGTAATTAAAATACGTGTTCTATCTGCCTTAGATATCTGTAAGCCGCCCACCACTGTAGTAGGAGCAATGAGGCTGGTTGTGCAAGTGAGCTAGGAACATAAAGGAAGGAAAGTTTGTTAACAATGAATCTTAATCTCGGTGATGTTATGTGGCAGGAGTGAAGGGACTGTCACTGTTGGTTGCATTATTAGCTTGGGCAGTGAAGAGCATCTAACACAGACAAGGCAGATGCACCGAGCAACCATGTTTTGTTATATTTTACCCCTACACTTAAATCCCAGTGTAATAATGTCTGTGATCCTATTGACCCTCCTATCCTATAGAACTCTCAAATGCACTGATGTATCTGCCAGTCTCACTGTGTGTCCCAGGGCCCAAAGAACGTGCTATTATTGATGGAGGTTTGGTCCAGACTTTGGGCTTCTCTCATGCAGAATGTGTTCTGTAATCCAGCCTGTGGCATTGTAAACTATTGGGAATCTTGCCACTCTAGGGTCTTTCACCAATACAGCTCTCTTGTCCATGGACTCATGCGGGCGTAGACACACACGCATGCACGCACCCTATGGTAGGTGAAGTATGGCTTTTTTTTAAAGCTTGCAAATATGCTGCACAGGGAATTCTGGATGGACCTGTCCAAAGTGCTGAAACAGTTTCTGGTGATGAGAGGAGCTGTCTGTGGTCCTGCAAAGCTGAGGTAGGGGCTGCTCTGCTGCTCCGGCATCGCACAGGAACAAATACGCTTAATCGCAGACTGTTGGATTTGAAACCCTCATTGGGATGCTGAGTCATACGACTGACAGTTTTCATTCTGTGGGTGTTTTGGGTTGTGATGGGATCAAAGAACTTCATTATTGACCTCCCGGTCTGTTGTTGTTCAGTAGCTCCTAGGAACTCCAGTCATGCAGCAGGACCCCGTTGTGAACAAAATGACCAGCCCTGCCACTCAAAGCTTATGAATTTGTGTAAACAAACAGAGATTTCCCTGTTACATGGAATAATTAAGGCCTCTGACGCCACTGCCCCCTCCTGTCTCCTAAATTCATGTTACTTTTGAACGTCTCTGATAAAGGCAGCCCATTGGGTATTATCTTCTGCTTGCATCAGGGGACTAGTTTATCAGCCCCTGCCACTGATTCACCATTGTGACCTCCATCAGGTCACTTAACATCTCTCGTACCTTAGTTTGCTCCTCTTTGATACCGGGATAACAACAGTCCCTGGCATCACAAGAGGTGGGCCTGGGGGTAATGAATTTGTGCCTGTAACATGCTTTGCATTCCTGGAGTAGGTTAGTCAGATTTGTGCTGATGGCCTTTCTAATGTTAATGATGAGGTCAAGGTTTTAAAAAACAGGAGCCTAAGGTTAGGTTCTAAACCCATCATTGGCCCCTGGCTGCTTTCCCAAGAAGCAGAGCTCCTACAAAGCTCAAGAAGCCTCACCCGCTTCATGCTTTCCCATCATCCTCTCTGCTTGCACTCTGATCCTTCTCAGTGGTTTGCACAGCAAGTAATAAGCAATCCGTACTACAGCGCACGCACCCCCAGTGCATGTGGGAAGAGCAGATGGTCTAGAGGAGGAACAATTGGAAGGGACCTTGAGAGATCATCAAGTCCAGTCCCCTGCCCTCACAGCAGGACCAAGCACCATCTAGACCATAGAGGTTTATCTAGCCTGCTCTTAAATATCTCCAGTGATGGAGATTCCTCAACCTCCCTCGGCAATTTATTCCAGGGCTTAACTACCCTGACAGTTAGGAAATTTTTTCCTAATGTCCAACTTAAACCTCCCTTGCTGCAGTTTAAGCCCATTGCTTCTTGTCCTATCTTCAGAGGTTAAGGAGAATAATTTTCTCTGTCCTCTTTGAAACACCCTTTTAGATACTTGAAAGCTGCTATCATGTCCCTT